TCAAGTTTCCTTCACAAATAACTTGAGAAAAGAAACTGCAAAGATGGAATAAGAGGGTGAGAAGGAGGCTAGGATTTTAAAAGAAAAGTCACAGCGCACATTTATAACAACACCAGCCCCTCTTCTGTCCACGCGAGCGTGGCGTAGTGGTCGAAAGATTTGACCAACTCCGAAATCAGAACAGTATGAACGACAGCATTCGAGCGAACTGCAATTAGACCGCTGTAGTGATTGGGTACGTTCAGTGTCAGTGCATACATATTCATAATTACATATTCAACAAAGAGTGAGCTTAATTAAACGTAAGCCGCATAAAAACACACAGAGTATCAGTAACAGAACAAAAAACAATTGTCATGAGGCAATGTGACAGATTCATTGACAGAAAAAAAATGTTTAAAATAAAAAATAAATAAATATTAAAAAAATAGTTATCAGAAGTGTGAGTTCAGTGTAAGTGCGGGCATGGCAACATTTCTAGAGTCTAATTGTCTTTGGGTATGTTCCAAAATACAACCCAGTGTACTGACCAATGCAAATGACGTCATGAATCGACGCTGTACTGGTGATTCGTTCCAAAATATAGGACAGTATGTGACTTCATACATTTGCGACATATTGGAAAAGTGTTGGCGATTATTTCATCATTTTGTGCTCCAAAAATCATTATATCCTCCTAATGGAGATACCAGCAATTATTCTATAATTTTTTGTGTTTGAATAAATAAAAACAAATTCTGTTAGTTATAATAGTATAGTCAGTAATATTGCCTAATTATTAAGATTTCTGTGGTATTAGTATACCAGTTAAATAACTTTTAAAAACGTTATATGAGCAAGTGAAGCTTGCACATTTTGATTTGGAAAATTATATTTTAAGGTAATATGCCATTTCAAAGAAAAAATAAATAAAATAAATTATATTTTAGCCAATAGCACGTCTAAATACAAATGTTTTTAAAAGAGAAAATACGATACTACGAGTTAAAAAAAAGTTTCAGCCTATATATGTCCCACAGCTGGGCACAGGCCTCCTCCCATTTCTGAGAGGGTTTTATGACAAGGAAATGTCCGCGCTGCCCCAATGCGTGTTGGCGAACTTCACATGTCTTCGAAATATTTTTTTCTTGTTTCTGACATGCAGGTTTCCTCACGATGTTTTCCTTCACCGCCGAGAGTGTGATAAATCAGCACTTAAAATTGCAATTAACAATATAATTGGTGCCGTCGGGAATTGAACCCGGGTTGGTTGCGTACTGTGAAATTTACAGCGAGCGCTTAGCCTCTGAGCTACCACGGCTCCTTGAGCCGATTATTATTGCTCCATATTATAGGCACGAATATTATAACCAAAATAATTAAACACTATATTGGTTTGCGTGAGTCACCACATTTATAAATAAAACACTTCCATACTACAAATAAAACCCAGTTATTTGCCGCTCGTTAAAATCACAAGGTTGCTGGAAACCTCACGTGGTTTAATCAGCTGATAAACAGAAGGCTGGCACTCGTCCAGGTAGCATCATTCAAAGTTATACCAAATAGTCATATTTCGCTGTTTTTATAATTGAACTGATAAAACAATGATATCCTGTTTATAAAATATGATACAGGGCTCGTATCATATTTTCTCCCATTTTAATTAGATTTGTTTATGTGTTTATTTATTTTAAAATTTCTTACACATAGGGGATATCGTCAAATGGAAGTACTGAAATAATGCTGTAATTATAGCAAATAACCGAATAAAGACCGTCGTTTGTCGTGAGAAATAAAAAAACAAGAAATAGTTAGCCCACTGTTGGTGCGATAGTTATCAGCCCAGCTCGTCGTTGGAGTGGGAACAGATCCAGTAATTTTTACGCGGGAACGTGGAGTTTCCCCCAGAAAAGGTGTAAGTGCGGGCATGGCAACATTTCTAGAGTCTAATTGTCTTTGGTAAGTATATTTTATGTTAGCAAGTTAAAATTTTTCCAAGAGTTTCTTTTTCAGACTACCAACCCGCCCCAGCTTTGCTATATATTAATATCCGCCCAGGATCTATTAATTTGGCGTTATTTAAATTTAACATCCTTTATTTTATTAATTTTTCAAATTTTCTGAAAAAATTCGCAAGTGAAAAATCGGAGATTTTTTAAATGTATATAGCCTATATCACTCCCGGCATTGTTCTCTCTATTCATGAAGTTTTACGTTCAGTGTAACGGGTTCAGCTATTTCGAAGAATATCCCGGAAGTAACGAGGCCATGAGTACACTAGAGTGCATCGAGTTGCATATTTGTTATCGATGTCAATTAGAAGTGCCAGTCATAATATGTACTATTTTATAATTAGGTTTGGTACCAGTCAAAAATTATTACCAATAATTAGCTTTTGTTTTCTCTATAAATGTTTATAACACTGTTAATAGTTTTGTTCGTTTTTACGTTTTTTACGAAGGTATATTCAAAATACGTAACGGAAACTTCTTGGCACTGATCTGAAGTATAAAGAATTTCCAAAACGCAATAATTCTAAAAGCTTATTACAATATTGTTTTAATGACTGTGTACCGCAGTAACTATAAAAACCGCACTGTCTAAGCCTAGTTTTTTCCACGTGGTAGCAAAGCCTTTAAAATATATTCATCATCATCATAATCATTACAGCCCTTCACAAGTTCACTGCTGAACATAGGCCTCCCCAAAGAATGCTACAAAGCACGGTTCTCATCCAACTGCATCCATCGAACTCCTGCATGTCTTACCAGGTCGTCACTCCACCGCCGCCCTATACTTCGCCTACCTAAAATATAATAATAAACTTAAAATATAAATGTGCTTTTCTTCACGTATTAGTGCAGTACAAAATAGTAAACCAGATTTAAGGTGAGTAGCGTCATCTTATCAAGGCTACAGCCAAGCCCAACCTTTGCGTTCGATTTGTGCAAATAACCGTCACATGGTAACAAATGGCATAATACCTTAGTGTATACATAAATATGTTACGCTTATATAGGTACTCTTAGATAATACTGCTTAGTTCGTATTGTGAGTGTCGACAATCGGACACCCTTGGAATGGTAACGAGGCATTTTATCTCAATCTTCGAAGGTGACAACGGATTTACATTTTGAATTTTAATCGATGACAGATGTTCATGTGTCTAATAAAAGGTTCTAAAAATTGTTCGGAAATTCATGTCCGCACTTTTGGAACCGTTAAAATTTTAGTAAAGTGTATTATTATAATAAAAAGTATACAAATAGTTGTGAAAACTCTAATATTTGAAAACAAAATGGGGGCGAGATTAGGATTTTCTACACAATAATTCTGACTGATCATATACTTTAGAGTTGTGTTCTAGTGATTTTAATGAAGGTACTTACTACCAAAACTTACAAATAAACTAAGGAAAAAATCTAACTAAACATCATCAACCCAGTGAATATATTATATGGCCACATTGTGTTATTTATCAGAATACTTACTGCGATGAGATGTTGGTACCTGTTACCATGTCAGTGTCACAACGGTTGCAAATAGGAAATAGGTCAAAACGCTTTGCGTGATAATACACACAGCTGACGTACAGCTCGAGTGGTAACTCAAAGGCTGTAAGCAACATAATGTGTGGAAATGCCTTCGGATTTGCGGGAGCAAGAACGGGTTATGTCGGACAAGCACCGACTAAAACTTACATATGCGTTTACACGTCGTTACAGATACGTTATTAACATGGTGCCTTTAATATTAATAATTTATACTTCATATTAATATTAATATTTCATTTAATCCTTTTTTTCATTACTAAAATCAAAAAATCTTGTACGGTCAACTCTTCAAGCTCAACTTTTTATTTTTTAAGCCATTTTGAAACGATTAACAATATTTTTATTTAATTTCCTGTTAAGAGTACAAAATACTGCGCAATTTGTTAAAAAGGATGTTTGAAGAAATTCTAAGTAGTTTCTTTTTAATACAAATATAACAAATAAAGATTTTGAAATAAAAGAAACTTATGTTTGTTGCTTTAAGTAATCAACATTTTTCAAAACAGTTTAACTGCTAGAACCAGTCACGTTTTGATAAGGCGTAACCTGGACAAAGTTATATTATTGTTAACTTTGTAATATAGCTTACATGTTTGTAACTAACACTAATAAATATTATACAAATTATAATAATAAAAAAAAATCTATTTAAAACAAGCTTTTAAAGGCGTTGCTAGGACCAGCATCCGAGTCTAGTGTCAAATCAGAACTGATTTGGAACCATATGGAACCATATTATTGCATTATCAACGAAATTACATAATATGTATATACCTATGTTATATATGACAAATTCCAGTTCAATCGAACCAGAACATTCGAATGCAGGTCTTGAATTTAATATATTTTAATTTATTGCTGTTTTAAAGTAACTTATCTTTCAATTTTGATATAGCTTAATTATTTTATTATATTATAACGCCCTGCTCTTAAAGCGTGAAAGTCTGTGAACACTTTTCAGCATATATGACATAAATATCGTAGTTATTCTTTACTAAATAAGGTAAGTAATATAGACCAGGAACTGTGTGGAACAGTGGGTTGAAAATTGAGCCCGCGGACTACTAACGACTCGGAGAAACCCATATCAAAGATAACGTCTTTTTACGTAAAAGATGGTGATACCTAACCCGACGACACACTTGTAAAAAGATAGCCTACTTATCACCATAAGCGCAATTAATCGATGTATGGAGGTGGGTTAAGACCGTGTTTTGTAGTAATCAATGAATTTAGTTACCACTAACTTTGAATGTGGAAGATAACAAGACCTATTCTTAGCATTTTACGAGTACTTGTGTAGACGCTAAAAATTTAAGTTTAAACTTGCACCATGTATAAGTTACACTACTTAATACAGCTGACGTAAATATAACTACTTATTTAATATTAAATACAGCATTCATAAAGCGTACATTTGTATTAAAAATAATAAAGAGCACTCATACTCCATTATAGCTGCACTTACATGAAGTCTTCCAAATCCACGACATCAGTGTATTGACACGGTTGCCCATTGACATCGTAACACATGGAATTGTAGTCCCACTGTTGTCCGTGACATGGTAAATTTAAAGATACCGGACCGTACCCTACCTGGGGGTACATGCGATTACCGTAGTACTGCTGCGGGGGAGGATTATCACACACATAATAGTTGTTATTATAACACTGCATTGAGATTCCTGAATTAGGATCACTATTGTGAATACTGTAATCGGACACATCATTCAGTGGTAGTTTAGACCACTGGCTGGACATCGGACACTGCGCACTCCATCCGGTCTCTTCGTAACTCCCGACGACGGGGCACTGCATCGGCAGACGATCACCGTTCACCAACATATTCGCGAATATTTAACTGTTGCTGAATAAAACAATATAATAGACCATCGAGCTACATAATCCACAAGCGACTGATAACAGTAGATCGTCTTATCTCTAACAGTAACCACGCGTGGTTGCGAAAAATTCGATTATATTTATTAGATAAAACAGCGAGAACGTAATTAGTTTCAAGTCTATTTCGATAATGCCAAAAATATGTAATAAAGTATTACTTTTTGGGTAATTCTCAGTAATTTCATTATCCTGTGTGTTTCAGAAAACATCCATAAAGTTAAAGTTACAGCCTATTGCGTGTCCAAATGTTGGGCACAGGCCTCCTCTCATTTCTGAGAGGGTTTTAGGGCAAGGACATGTCCGCCGCGCTGTCCCAATGTGTGTTGACGAACCTTACATGTCTTCTTGTAAATATTTTTTCTTATTTCTCAGACCTGCAGGTTTCCTCGCGATGTTTTACTTCATGGTCGTACACGTGGTAAAATGGTAGTATTCATATTCTGATTAAATTTCTTTCGCTTTAATTTATCATAAACACGTAGTAAATACTAAGTCTTCCACTAATAAATTTGAGAGTCAGCATCGGGAATCAAATTAAAGCTGCTCGTACCTGTGTACCGTAATCTCGAGGACCTTGAAGTGAGGCGAAAAGCATGACCGTGTACTATGAACTCCACTGGTTAGAACATGTACAACTAAATTAGAGAATCAAGCAGACGTATCTCTTTAATTTATGTGCTATATTTTTTTTTTCAAATAATTTTAGTTAAAAAACATTCTCGTAACTCATATAAAGTAATATTAAACCAACAATGTTTTCTTCTCTTCAAAAAACTAATCAACGTGGTGTAGTCATAGTGGGTTATGAAACTAAGTTTTTACGTCAATATAGTTTCAATCATCATATAATTAGTCTACTTTAAAAATATAAATGCCTGGTGGATTTCGCTGGATATTTTTTTAAGAATACGGGCGACAAACCAGCACATATATTTAGTTTTTTGTTTCTATATCGAACAATGGTAAGAATGTGTTAATAATTAATGCATATATTTTGATAAGTATAATTCTTTTGTAAAAAAATATATTTCAATTCTCTTATATACAAAAAGGCAATTTCATAGGTAAAATCCTAATACAAATTTAGCGATCTTATCGCATTATATCTATAACACGCATGTTGCAACTGATATGGGTAAGTAAGGTAATATTTAACATTGTAAAAATATTGGTGAATTGCTTTTCGCCATTTTGATGATGATAATGCGATGCCAATCTTGTGAGATTCAACTCTTCCAAAACACAAGTATGTCTGGGTCTTCACCGCCAAAAGGTGCCTTCTCACTCAGGGTTCTCCTTTTTGGGATTTATCTCTTATTGGATTGGAGTACACTGTACGCCTGCAGTCGCTACCTGCTAACGGTTTACATTTCACCAAACCTCAACTTTGAGTGCATTGAGTTCAGGTGCAAAGCAGTCGCAAGAAATCTTGACGTCCCTCAAAGTGTGCTGCAGTTTCACGCCGGGACATCATATGACTCTATATAAAGCACAAGTCCGGACGTGCATGAAATACTGCTGTAACATATGGGCTAGTGCTGCAAAATTCCATCTAGCAGCGATTGACACAATGTTGCAGACGTACTAAGAGGTATCTTGGTAATCATAATTTGGTTGAAACTAATCTTCGAGCATAAGCGCGTAGTAGCCAGCATCTTGGTATTCTATACCTACCTACCTCCCCTTTCCATCGGACAAAGCGGTCGGCAGGTGTTCATCATTTGAACCAAACGGTTTGCTACGTCTTTCGTGACGGCTTTGTTAGGTTCAGACAGTGCGGTTTATCATCTAAAGCTTTATACCACCAAGTGGATTTGTATTCGAGCAGTGGCATATAATAAGTTAAAAAAATATAGTATGAGCGTCCTTCGTAGTGGATTATTTCCGATATAATTCGAAAATTTTAAGGTTCTTGAAATATCGGTAAAAAGTAGTTTTGACCAAGACTGGTACCAAAAAATACATGCGACCAGGCTAATAGCTAAAATCACTTTTAGAAAAAATACATGTGTGCGGTCAGTAACTGTTCACACGCAGTAAAAGTGAAACCTTCAGAAAACTGCGAGTAAAATTACTGCATAATAGTGCCATCTATATAGGGAAAGTCATTTTATTGAACAAAATTTGATTGATTATCTAGGTGGTACTTAAAATAGACGCTAGATGGACTAAACACGACTAATTTAAGTAAGTTAAGAAATCGTGGATTGTTATGAAAGGATTGTAAATATTTTTTATTTAATATAGTTAATTTTATTTATTTAACAAAAATAACTGTTAATCTGATTAACACTTATTTTTGTTAAACAAATAAAAATCTGTTAACTATTAACTTTAAAGTATCGTACAAAGCGGAGACCGAGATAACAGGAAACACTATACTGTATTCTATCTCTCTCGTAAGTTAAACCCTATAGATGTATATGTATATCTCTTTTGTTACATCGAGTATCAAATAACAATGATTCTAAAGAAGTTCCACTTGAAAAAGTGTTTGAAATTTTACAAAACGTTTTGTGCCAATCGATTTCAGGCAAATAGTAAATGTTTCTCGGAAACAAAGTAAATATAAATTTAAAAATTAATAAATGATTGAGATTTTCTTTCACTCCTCCCTCCCCTCCCGTACTCGATAACAAAATTCTCCCGGGTTGGTCCTTTCGAGAGTTGGTAACCCTACCCAAGGGCCACCCAACCCGTACTTACCTACCCTATTTACGACTGCCTCGTTGGTCTAGCGGTTGTAGTAGTGCGACTACTGATCATGAGGTCCTGGGTTCGAATCCCGGGTCGGGCCAGTTTGAGTTTTTCTGTCAAGAAATTCTCGGTAGCTGCCCGGAGTCAGGAAGTTGGCGGTGTCTCACCCCCGTGCCTCAGAAAGCACGTAAAGCCGTAGGTCCTGCACCTGATCTCTCTCCCGGTCGTGTCGGTTTACCGTCCCATCGGATTACGAGAGTGAGGGAATAGAGAGTGCACCTGTGCTTGCGCTTAAATGGGCACTATAATCCTGTCCTGCGCCGATGGCTAGTCTTCGTTGAGGCAGGCCGCTGTGGCCGAAATTCGGTCTGGAGGACATTATTATTATTTACGATGCACATTGATAATCAATTGTTTAAACAATAAATCGCAGAGTATAGATTAAAAAGAGTTTTTAACATACAATAATAAAGCAATGTAATTAATACCACTATTCTGTGAAACTGCCTCTGTATGACTTGGCACTAACCCACCGATCCGGACCAAGCGTTCGCCTCGATAATATAATTGAACAGGCTACTGAACTCGCGGCGCCATAATGATGCTTGGTTTTCATTGGTCATTGGTCTACAGATCACGTGTTTTACCGCGAAGTAAACGAGGAAATTTTTTTTTAAAATATTCAACGCAATTTGCGATTTTATACTCTACTACTATTATTGGACAAACTTTAAATGCTATAAGCGTGAAACGTTTTAACTATGAAAGGCATGTTATGATGTTATAAAGCCATAAGTATTAAAGCAAACATACTAGCCTCTTCCCGTGCGTAATGTAACAATGCTTAATTGCGATAAAGAGCAATAAAAGTTTCTGACGTTATAGACGAGATAGCACGCCACGTTACGATGCGAAAGACAAAAATATTGGTTATGACGACGGTTGAAGACCCAATTACATTAACAAATACATACAACAACATAAAAGATAGTGACATCAGTGCTATGCCACTTTTCAACTATCGAAACACTATGTTCCAAGTGGAACGCTTTTCGTCTTCATAGCAAGTAGTAAAATTAAAAATTTTGTACAACCGATTTTAATACAAAAGAAAATGAGAACATCATTAATGTAGTCGAAGTCAATTAAATACGAATTATTAGGAATAACTCAAAAACTACTGGTCAGATCTTGATCAAATTTATATGGGACTACATGAAAAGCACCAGCTTGCCAATAAAAAAAAGAGAAAAAGTTGTGAGGTAACACGAATAAAAAATCGGTTGACCCTGTATGCCATCCCTGGAACTTTCCACTAATTTCAAATGCAAAGCGCTCCAAATTTCACGAAATTATGATGTTGAATATGAAATATCGAAGTAATATAAAAAGATAAATTTTTTTCAAAACTTTTCGTTAACGATATCTCACAAACGAATCAACCGATTTTTAACGGACCGGTGATGAACGATGATCGACGTAATTTTATCAAGGTTAAAAGCTGATTAGTTTTTGGAATCGAACGGTAAAGCCGTTTAAAAGTTATTCCAAAAAATAGATTTTAAATTTTTGAAAATAAACATTTTTGAGATTTCTCAAAATCTACCGGTAGGAATTAGTTAAAATTCATAGGAAATCTAAGTTTGATGAAACACTTTTCCGCTTAGTTCATTTCAATCGTTCAAGCCGTTCAAAAGTTATGAGGTTTACATATCCACTCACACACACACATACAGACACCATCGAAAAATTGTCAGGCTGCCTGTGACCTCAAAACGTCAAGATTTGATGAAAACTCAATTTTCAAAAAACGGAGTAAAAACAATGATTTCCCGATTTTTGAAAATTTTCAATTTTCTTAGCGGGAAGTTAAAAATACAGTCGAAATTAGAACTACCTCTTTTTTTTTGAAGTCAGTTGAAAAGTAGTTAGTAATTATTAGGAATTAGTAAGCTGAAGTGGCAATGGGCAGGCTCTATCGAAGAACTGACAACCGATGGGGAAGAAAGATTCTCGAGTAGGTAAAAACGAACCTAGTAAGAGACGCAGGAAGTCGATAAATACAGGTGGCTCAAGACCGTGCTTTGTGGCATTCCTCGGAGTATATTCAGCTGTGGACTTGTGGATGGATGTAATATTTTTTTTAAGTGTCAAGTTTAAGCCAGATTATGTTTCATTAAAGAAGTCTCGTGGAAAATAAGCGAACTAAAAAGTAAAGTATGTGATTTGACAGCAAATGTCAAATT